GGAGCAAAAAAAAGAAGAAAAAAAGAAAGAAAAAGAAAAAAAATGATAGCCCACAACGCCTCAAATGTTATTTTTGGGCGTCTAGAACACAAAAATTTCCCCCAGGACATTGTTGTCTCGATCGGCCCGAATTTCGGCCACCCCTGAACTCTACCAGGATTTTTTAATTCTGGGCCATCGTTTGCAGTTCTAGTCGGCTCCTTGGTTCAGACCCCTCCTTTGGACATATTTGACCCGCAAATTTCTGGTGCCATGGCTGATAGCGTCCCTTTTAAAGGTAAACTGCCACTTTGATATAACCAATTTATTTTATCACCAGAAGAAGACATCATAATGATTTAAAAGTACTTTGGACTTATTTACCTCGGGCTCTTTCTGCTTTCTGAACTTAATACCATATTTTTTTAATTTTTTTTTTTTTTTAATCTAATAGGAATATCAAATTATAACAAAATTTTTAACCCACATTATAATTTTGAAATAGCAAGTAAAATTTTTAATAAATATTGTAAGTTTTTAACTATTGCATGGAAAGAACTCAGTGACGTTTACAATATTTTTCCATTACACACAGTACTAATATGATGTGTATATTTGTTTTATGTAATCTTAATATAAACTTCTCACTTCACCTTAAATTTTGTAATTACTTTTATCATCTTTTATATATATTTACAGTTCTGTTTTTGTTTTTGTTTTTGTTTTGTTTTTTTTACTTTTCTCTGTTATGATAAGAATTGAGAATTGTGCCTCTGTAAAGTCATGCAATATGCCTAAAGTTATTATCGGAACCCCCGAATCAATTTTCATAAGTGTTGTGTGTTGACGAGATTTGACGTGTTTTACATTACTCGACAAATGTTGACGCGAGTTGATGGGAGTTGACGGTATATGAACGCTCAACATCAAACGGACACATGTATGAATGGAGGAGGTGGGCGAGGATCGACAGGAGTTGGTGGAAACAGGATAGTGCAGGCCTAGCCTAGCCTATCTTTTTTGACATAATTCGTTTCAAACTAGTGTAGGTATAGTAAAGACCAGACTCAACCTAATCGCCTCTAATACTATTCGTAACAGGCCTAATCTGTAATAATAATCTAGTACTATTTAGTAGTAGATGTAGCTATTTTTATAAGTTAGGCCTAGGCCCTAGGCCTAGGTAGGCTACATCTAGGCTTACATCATCCAGGCGCAAACGGCCCAACTGGACCAGGATGGCTAGGCTAGCTGGCTAGGCCTAGACAAAGGTCAAGGTACTTAGTCAATATTATTTTAGTAGCAAAATACATGTACTTAATTCCAATAATTTTTATTTAACATCTGATTAAAGTTTCAAAGAGAAATTTTTCTTGGTGCTTCAGCTTTACTTAGGCCACGGGAATGAAAGTTGTTGTAGGTTTGCGTCCACCACCCGCATTCCTAAAAAGCTACCGCACGAACATTTTCATTATTTTGAAAAGTTCATTATTTTGAAAAAAAATATACTTCGTTTTAAAAAACGGACTTTCTAAGTCGTAAACAGAGAGAAAAACGATCTATTCATCACTGATCACTCATCGCGAACACCGAGCGAAGGCAGGCCTGGCCACATCGCACCATGGTCGTCGATCACTGCTGAGGTCATTTACGGGTCAAATTGATCTTTCTGACCAATAGGAAATCTTGTATGTTTAAAGAGGTCTTAAATGTAGAAAAGGATCTGTCTTATAGGCTAGTGTACATTTATGACTGTAAGCATTGTTTCTTGGGAATAAATGTAAAATTACCAATGCCGCGGCTTGTGGACATTTATAAAAAGAAATAATGAAAAATGAAAAAAAATGCCTCATGTGTTTTCAAAATTTTTCGGACGCAAACCTACAACTTTCATTCTCGTGGCCTTAAATTAACATTCAAAATATTTATTGCAGACGATTAACAAAAAAGGTAACAAGGTGAGGTGATCCAGAGCAAGATAAACTATACGAGTATCGATGGCGCATCACGGCTACCCACGTCAACATGATCACGATGGTGGCTTTGGCAGAATGCACGATGAAGAGGCTGATTACGGACTTCCATTCCAAAACATGCGGACGATGATGGTTGGCGTCGCCAATGATAGCGATCGTCAAAAAGAATCATCGTATATAAGAACATCACCACGTATCTACCATCTGCCGTTTGGCTTAACTTTTCTGTTAGATCCTGGAGGATACTGTCCACTTGGGTTTATTTTCTTCTCATGGTTTTACAACTCAATTTTAGTTCCATATATTGTACTTCATCCACAGTACAATGATGGGAACATCAGTGTCTATGCTGTAATCGGTAGGTATTTATACAGATATATTAACTACTGTATATAAAGTCAGGCCAATTATAGTATATATTTCTGACTTAGGGCCCGTTCAAACAAAAAAACGTATTCGTTTATTTCACCGGGTAATCGCGCTGAGCACTCAGCGTGTGGTCGACTGTTCGAGCAAGTTTTAGCTCACGGTAAATACGTGTAACGAAACCACTCCAGAAGTAAATTTCAACTTATCCCATGGTCAACAACCCGTTCGTTATTTACTTGCTACCGATGCTATAACCGGCCCACGTACACAGCACGGCACGGTGGAACGATAGTGTACAGTAGCTCAATAACTTATAATGGCTGCTTTAAAATCTGTATGTAGGTTAGTTTATTCAAGTTTATTTCTCCGAATAATGGTAATTTAAAAAATTGATCGCGTAGCTATGCTACTAAATTTAGATTTCGGCGTGCATGCGTGAGAAGGCGAAGGAGAGCTGCAACCACGCCTGGGCCGTAACCTATTGAATTTCGCGCTGGGCTGTGGACAAAACTTTTGGAAAAACAATTATGGTTGATTTATCATCGCCTCCGGCTCCATGGTCATTCCACACACGGTATTCTACCCAGCAATTTGGTGGTCAAAATTGTTGTGGATAATCCAGATGGTAAGGTAATTAGACTAGTGTCCGAGCGGCCCCTAGTGAAATGAAAACTTCAACTTAATCTATTAGAAGCCAAATGAAATTATTTGAGTATAAATGTAGTTTCTAATCTAATACAGTTCTTTAAAAAAAGGAATGAGAAATTCCTTTTTGGCCATATTTTTTTTTTCAGTTTAAGTAGTCTGATAGTAATGTATTCATTTGCATGGTTGACGATATTTCAATTCAATTTCAATGTTTTTTTTATATTTTGTTTTTTGGTGTTTGTTTTTGTTGTTGTATATTACAGTACATTTTGATAATGCAATCAATTCTTTATTTCTCTTTCACAGTATATTATTTATTTTCTTTGTTAACGGTCGTGTGTTTATTCCGAGCAACTACAGCTGATCCTGGGCGAGTTGAATTTGAAGGAGGTCCTATACCACCACATGGTAAGGACTATTGTGTAGAAAACTTTAAACACTTGTTTTTTCTGGATGTGAGTCATGTATGAAGCTACAGCCTTAACGTTGATGTTAGTCACGTGAAAGTCTCTGAACTGTTCAAGTTTAGTTAAACCCTGTACAAAACAATCAAATTTTATATTACAAAAACATGTGACATGCCTAAATATGGAAATGATGACATCGCATCATGACCATATATAGGCACATCATGACTATATATTGGTATACAACAGTTTTTTTGTCAAAGAGCATTAAATTTGGTAATCTGGACAGAACTTTATAAGTCCTTAAACTGCTGTCCTCATTGTCTGCATCCCTTGATTCCACTTGGGGGCAAGCTAAGTAGAGATAATGTTGTATTCCTTCCAGTGATTCATAATAAAATGTGTTTTTCTGCTGTTCAGGTGCTAACGATTGGTCTACTTGCAAAAAGTGCTTGATTCAACGACCAATCAAATCTCATCATTGCAGTCGATGTATGCGTTGTATCCGTAAGATGGATCATCATTGTCCATGGTAAGGATATGCAATTAGAAACAAAATCACAACCCAAAATTAAATAGGATAATAATGAATAGAAGTTGATCCTCTGCAGGTTTTTGAGGGTGTGCTGCTTTTTTTAAACTAAATTTAATGCTAAGTAACTTTCATTGATACTTTAGGATTGGATTGGAATTATTTGAGGTAAAAACTGAGGGTAGCCTTCAAAAGTCTGGAAAATACATTACTCCAGTGGTGTCCTGATGTTGCTTATGCAGTACATTTGGAGACAATCCCCTATTCTTTTCTTTTTTTTTATCGATGTTTGCTATCCTTATGTGCCATCGTAAAGTCATGGTTTGCTAGAGTTGCGTTCAATTTAAATCTCCGAACTTCTAAAGCTGAGATAGGCCTATTCTATGAATGTAGGCTTGTATCAATTGCTACAATTTAAAAACGAATGACCAAATAATGAATTAGGTGCTAAATTTTGATTTTTAATGCTGAGTAGGGCCTAAGTTAAAAACAGATAGGCCTATTCCGTCCGAGTGGGACTCATTCAAAAATTTGAGGGGGTTCGCTAGAAAAGGGGGGTTTGCCCAAACCATAAAACCCCCCTGGCTACGGGCCTGTACTACATTAATGTGCATATGGGCCGTATTGCACATGAGACCAATGTCTTAGATATCTCATCTGGAAGATGGTGCGCTACTGAAACTTGTATCCAGCCCTCAAGCGCAGTAGGAATTGAACCAGGGACCAAAAGATTTCCTTGATTCTGCATACGCACAATGGCTACCACTAGTTTAGCCGAGCTTATAAGCTGCTAAATTATTAAAAGTAAAATATAAAGATATTACAACTACGGTTCGCCCTCCAATTCAAGACCACCTTTGGGACCTGAACATTTGGGGTAATCTTGGGGTTGGTCTCCAATTAGAGGGCTAGCTTTGTGTTACAAGGGTGAAGTTTGTTATTTGGGTCTTTGGGAAAGTGGTCTCAAATTAGAGGGGTCTCGAAATGGAGGGTGCACTGTATAGAAAGTTAAAAAAAATCATAACATACTATTTACAGTATGTTCACTTTTCAATTCTATAAGAGGAAACTATTCTCTTTGACCAAGTTTTAAAATACAATAAAAATAATACTGGTACAGTGAATATCCAAGAAAGATGAGGGTTATAGTAATGTTACTGCCATTCTTGTTTATTGCTGACTTGTGATTACCGTTCAGTTATATATGCTGCCCTCTCTAGGTCTTTTAACAGCCTACACAGAAAAAATAACTTTAATTGTGAACACAAATAATTGTCTCTACTATATCCGCATTTTATCAGCAAGTAAATATCGCCCTCTTGTGTCACCAGCTTATCAGTTAGATCTTCCTTACAGAAATCTTCATTCATTGTGAGATTATGCTGTATTACCTTATTTTAAACATAATGAGGTCTATAATGCAGTTCCGGCTTCCAATCAAAAGATCAGGAAGCGATGTGGCACAGCGGGAACAGTAAGGTTTCCCAAACTCAAGGTCAGGGTTTCAATATCTCGCTGTGTATCTCACTTGTGTCTTTGAGCAAGGGGCTTAATCTGCATTGCCTCTTTTCACCTAGGTGTAAAAACGTGTACCTAGTGGGGTTGCCTGCTCCTGCGCTGTGCCTGTGCTCCACTTAAAGCATGTGGACCCAATGACCAGGGAAAAGCACTGCGCTTTAAACGAAGAGGCGCATTATAAATGCCTATTCCAATACCAGTACCAATTGGGGTTAGAATCAGAATCTGATCACCTGTTTGTGTTTTTGGTCAAATCAATTTGACCAAATATAACATAGCAATTAAGTTTGCTGTTCTTTCATCCTGCCACTGACAAAGATATACTTTAAGATAGTATAATAAATACTCCAAGTATCAAAATGCACGCCATCATGTCTTTAATATATTGTATTTCCATAATTTTTCAACTGTTTACTGTTTTTAAGATGACAAAATAATTAAAGGAAATTAAATGAGTCAGTGCTCATAATATTCTATGCAATGTTCAATTTCTACAAAGGAATAATTTCTCCACAATATACTGACAATGCCTTTCTGTTCTATTTTCAGGATAAATACATTTTTCATAATTTTCTACGCAATTTTCTATTTTTTACAAACGAATAATTTCTCCAGAATAAACTGAATTTTTTCTATTTTTCAGGATAAATAACTGTGTTGGTGAGGACAATCATTGGTTGTTTTTGTTGTTGGTTATTTACGCCTCGTTGCTCAGTATTTACACGTTCGTTCTACAAATGTTATATTTCTACTATTTACCAGCTTGTGTTTCCTGTGATAAGGTAAGGATCAGTTTTCTGTTGGGATTTAGCTTTTTCTCCACAGTCCTTTTTGAATACAATTAAAATGAAAAATGTGTCTGTGTTTGTCTTTCTCTATCTAGGAGTACAAGTTGGTAAGTGGTGACTACTGCCTTCTATGGTAAATATATTTAAAGCCAGGCTCTGCAGGAAAAATTTTGTACCAAAGGTGGAAAAATGGTAGTTATGCCCCTTTTTCCCTGTTTTTAAATATTAAAAAATCCGTATCTCATTATCCATACCTGAATTTTTTTGTCAAACAAAGTTTTTGTGTCTTAGAAAAACGTATATTGTTCCTCCGCTGCCTGGTTTTAAGTTATGCTACCCCCATAGATATAAAGCGATTGTACATTGTATATGATTGATTTTGTATCCATTGCAGTAGCAACAGTGGAAGGGAAGAGGGGGACTTAATTGCCTTTGTCAGACAAGCCAAATCCCTTGTCACTCACAACTTGTTCGACAAGAAAAGAAACTTTTTTCTTTTTTTTTTGTTATATTCTTTGAGTGTAATGTACATTCTAAAACTTCTAAAAACAGCTTAAAATAGCCAAAAATAGGTGCCAGGGTGCTTCGTCCCCTAGACCACATTTAGTGCTTTGCTCCTGGGTCCCACTAGCCTGTCGGACAACTTAACCCTAGAGCCCCTCACGTCAGACTAAATAATTCAAACATCATCTTTGCCATGATCAGCTTAACTTGTTCATTAGCTGTCAATAACTTGTCTTTCGTTTAGCCCCCAGCTATCGAACATACCCTTATTTTTAACATGACGGAACAAGTATCGATTAACAACCAAATTGTAGCCTATAGATACAGGCCTCACACTGACAATGACATAATTGTACAGATAAACAAAATCAATAGAAATCCTGTAAACGTAATAGCCACACTAGTTAAAACAATTTTTTAAAATAAATTTTATAGCATCATGTACAGATTCATACTCACTATTATCTGTAGTACTGTTTCTATATATTCTGTCTCAAATAAAGATATTTAGTTTGTTGTGTCCGCGCAAGGCACTGACCCCAGAGCACCATTCCTGTTGTTGTTCTTCTTGTTCTTGTTCGCGAAACTTTAAAAGCGTTCAGCTAAAGGTTCATTGCCCTTTTTTTTTTAGTTGGACCACAGGGTTCCCCCTTACCTATAAAACAAGACCGGTTTGAGCAAGGACTGTACATTACTGCCATTACCACTATAGAGCACGTCGCATGGATGGCACGGTCGGAGTTTGAATCGCGTCTTGGTATTCAATTTTGTTTTTTCCAATTTTAAGAAATTTCATTTTTTCCAATTTTAAGATATTTTAATTTTGTACATATGAACATTCTAAATATTAATTTTTTTTTCGTACAAATAAACATCCTAATTATTTAAAAATTTCTATTTTATTAGCTCTTCTAAAAAACCTAATATAATAACTTGCTCCTATACCGGATTTAAGCATGGAGGAATGCGCGGACTGGTGGGCTCTTGTTTAAAATGCAATTGTGTATGCAGTAAATCTACGTGTAGATACTTTTGTATTATGAACTATACATATCTCACTGACATGAAAGTTATAGGATATAAATTTTATTCTTCACTACTCTTTCCTAGCAGCAACTACTACTAATTGGTACAATAAGAATCTACTGAAAGTTTGATAAACCAACAAAAAAGACCTTATATTAAAGTTTCAGATGTTCTCTTGATACAAGATTCGGTTTATACAGGATAGTCTTGAAGTCTAAGCCTCCATATATAAAGTCCCATGGTGCCTCAATCCATCTTGTACTCCCCTCTCTGTCTTGTATTTCTTGTCTGCAGCTAGACATAATGATCATCAGTTTTATGTATACATATCTTGTTTATGAAGTTTATGTAATTCAATTTATATGTTTATCGCTTCATCGAATAAAACTAGCTTATGACAAAGTAACTTGTGTCATTCAAGATTTATTTACGTCTCCTGAGAAATGTTGTTTTTTCCCCGTTTGGTCGAATTTTAATGGAAATGTTGCGAATGAAGTGCTATGGGGATCAAAATTTTCCCTTTCTAATGATGTATCATTAAAATGCTGAAATATATCATGAAAAACAAAATTGAAAAGAAATAATATCTGTATAAAAAACAAATGCATATGTTTAAAATATTCTGTATTATTATTGATTTTTTTCAATCATTATTTTTCAGTTTTAACTGATCTCAACCATCTGTTATCAATATATTTTCCTGCAGATATATAATCTTGTTTAACACTGCAGGTTTATCAAATTTATTATCTCTAATAAAAACGAAGAAATTACAAAACTCACAAGGAAAAATTGCACAGTACAGTACAGTACAATTAAAAAGTATTTACAACAAATTTCCATAAAAGTCCATAGACAAAAGCACATTATTATTTTTAATTATGTAAGGCCTAAAATATTTAAAGGTAACAATAGATGTTTATAAAAGAACTTAAAAGTCAACAGAAGGCAAAGAAGATTATAACCTTTAGTTGAGAAAATAATCCTAATTACTAGTTAGATGCTAGCAGTTACTTTGTTATAACACATAAAGTCACTGCAATCTATCCGCTGACAAATGTCGGCAACGCTGATCCAGCAGATTGGGGGTATTCCCAATTTCGTCGTTGACAGCTATGCAGAGTGATGGTTGTAGTGAAAACACAGTAGGGACAGTGTAGCGATTCCTTGGAAACCAGGCCAAACTGTTGTAGTTTTTTACATATTATTGCAGTTGAGTTGCTACATGTTGCTATTAAGGTTGCTACATGTTGCCATTAAGTTTACTACATTTAATACATAACTAGCATATACCCTTGCTCCGCACGGTGTTGAATGAGTGGGGAAAGGTGGCGATGTATATTGTTGAATGTAATGGGAAGTTGAGGAGGCAATCGTTGTGGATGTTAGAGTTAGCATGTTACTATTTTCTAAAGGACATCTTTGTAGATGAGTGTCTTTGCTGGATAGTCCTTGTGAGGAATTATTGTCCAGTTTGATGAAGGGCGTATCCAGAATTTTTCTAACAGGAGGGGGCACAACAGTTTTAAAATGGATAAGTGGGTAGCACTTAACATAATATGCACTTAAATTTTAAAAATTTACTGGAAAAACCTTGAGGCACGTGCCAAACACAGACTGGACGCTCTAGTAAGAGTAAAATAAGAGCTATAAAATGGTAAAAAAAATCATTCAAATCCGACATTTCCTTATGAAGCTACAAGCATTTAAGCATACAGCTGTTTAAGGAATAATATGAGAAATCAGCCTTCAAAGTTTATGATTTCAGGCATTTCTCATGCAGAAACTATCATAAAATCTTTAAAAAGTGTTGTTTTAACATTGAAATTGGGAAAAATATCAGCACAGCATGATGTATACATACATAAACCTCAGTTTAGTGAAATAAAATAGATTTTTTAAAATTTGACATTCTAGCATGTTTTTGCTATTTTCTCTGAAACACAATTTGCGACGAGTGACTGGTTTGGCTTGTCTTTGCCACATATTTTAATTATGTAAGGCCTAAAATATTTAAAGGTAACAATAAATGTTTATAAAAGAACTTAAAAGTCAACAGAAGGCAAAGAAGATTATAACCTTTAGTTGAGAAAATAATCCTAATTACTAGTTAGATGCTAGCAGTTACTTTGTTATAACACATAAAGTCACTGCAATCTATCCGCTGACAAATGTCGGCAACGCTGATCCAGCAGATTGGGGGTATTCCCAATTTCGTCGTTGACAGCTATGCCTAGCGATGGTTGTAGTGAAAACACAGTAGGGACAGTGTAGCGATTCCTTGGAAACCAGGCCAAACTGTTGTAGTTTTTTACATATTATTGCAGTTGAGTTGCTACATGTTGCTATTAAGGTTGCTACATGTTGCCATTAAGTACTACATTTAATACGTAACTAGCATATACCCGTGCTCCGCACGGCATTGAATAAGTGGGGAAAGGTGGCGATGTATATTGTTGAATGTAATGGGAAGTCGAGGAGGCAATCGTTGTGGATGTTAGAGTTAGCATGTTACTATTTTTCTAAAGGACATCTTTGTAGATGAGTGTCTTTGCTGGATAGTCCTTGTGAGGAATTATTTTCCAGTTTGATGAAGGGCGTATCCAGAATTTTTCGAATGGGAGGAGGGGGGGTGGTGGGAGAACACAACAGTTTTAAATTGGATAAGTGAGTAGCACTTAACATGATATGCACTTAAATTTCAAAAATTTAGTGGAAAAACCTTGAGGCACATGCCAAAGACACACTGGACGCTCTAGTAAGAGTAAAATAAGAGCTATAAAATGGTAAAAAAATCATTCAAATCCGACATTTCCTTATGAAGTTACAAGCATTTAAGCATACAGCTGTTTAAGGAACAATATATGAGAAATCAGCCTTCAAAGTTTATGATTTCAGGCATTTTTCATGCAGAAACTATCATAAAATCTTTAAAAAGTGTTGTTTTAACATTGAAATTGGGAAAAATATCAGCACAGCATGATGTATACATACATAAACCTCAGTTTAGTGAAATAAAATAGATTTTTTTAAATTTTACATTCTAGCATGTTTTTTGCTATTTTCTCTGAAACACAATTTGCGACGAGTGACTGGTTTGGCTTGTCTTTGCCACATATAGATACATATTGATACTTTAGTAGTGGCATGTAGCTACAACTAAATTTTGCTGCAAGACTATCATTGAGGTAGGACTTATTCTGGAGGCCCTTAATTGTGTTCAGGAGCCAGGTAAAAAGAAACTTATATGCGTAACTGTTGATACTGTAGATTATAAATGTGTTGGGACCAGACTAAAGAGACCCTAGATTTATGATCAGTGTCCCGTGACTGTTATTGAAAACTTGTATGATTTTTTTTTTTTTTTTTTTTTTGCTTTTGTAGAGTCTGTCTGTTCATGGTCACAGTCGGTATTTTATGTACGGCGTCTTTGTGTTTGCTATTCTACTCACCATCATCTGCATGGGTCAAGTGTACACTCAAGTGATAAATATAGCTACAGTAAGTTGGCCAGCATTTTTATATATTTCTTCACAATTCTAACCCTCAATAAGTCAGGTACATGATAAGATGATTAGATCAATAATGACATGGATCAATAATGTCATTAGACCAAAATAGGCATACTTATTTTCAAGTTTGATTTTATACCTATTTCAATATTTTGCCAAAAGGATAAAGTTTGACAAGTTCAGATTTTATTTTAAAAATGTGCTTCTGCCAAGATTTGAACCCAAAACTCTGGGATTTGAAAATGTATATCTTTATCACCATTACACAATTCCAATTATTTTAAATTTTGAATACATAAAATAATATTTATTATACTGGTTATTCTATGAAAATATACTATATTCCGAATATGCTTCAAGATACACAAAAAATTACGACGGGGTGTGCTTACAGTATGTTCAGATAATACCCTGACAGTTATATTTTGAATGAATATTCGCCACTTGATTCATTTTTTTTTTCTTTAAATATGGAAAATCGAAGTTGTTAGTAGCACTGTAATATCTCAGTCGTTTGGCATTGCACTGGCAGGGAACTCAATCTTTTGATAAATACAGCTCTTAAACACATACTGTGATTGTGCATGTATTGTTAATCTACAAGGAATACACATAGGTAGTCTCATAGGCTGCTACATGCACTTTTTTATATCTATACCAACAATTTCTAATTACATATTTTTTAACTCTGCTGAAAGGCAATTAACTTGTTACTCATCTCTAAAATTTAATTTAGCTTAAAGTGTGTGTGGGATTACAACCTACATACAATAGTGACATACAGATAGCATTTGTTGCTGAAGGCATTTATTATGAAGATGTTTTTCATAAGAAATCTCTTTAATCCTGATCATCATCATACAGTAATAATCATTAGTGGTAGAGGTAGTGGTAGTGATAGAGATACGAGGGGTGGTAGTGTAAATAAGTGGTAGTAGTTATTCTTTTTTGTTCTCATCATTTTCAAGTCCAAAACACATGCTAGGGAGAAGGAGATTAACAGTTTTATGTACTTCTATATGAAAATAGGAAAATTAAGATTTCAAAATTACAGTCATCATTTTAGTATGGGATGAGAGTCACAGAAAAGAGTATTAATTTTATTTAATCTTGAAGGTTATTATTTAACTTTTAATCTTATTACAGATATTTTAATTTTTGATTCAACGAATTAATAATATTATTTTATTATAGTATGCATATTCCCTTTAAGTCTTCCTATGTAGTTTTTAGTTTATTATTTTTTATTCACTCAGAGCTCCTTTCAACATTAGGTTTTTGACTTTACATTGAACTTTCATATTTTATTCTCTATGCTGAATCTGTCAAATGTTGTTTAAATTGATGATAAAAAGTTAACTTGCAATAAATTCTCAACTAGTTTGTCATATCCCATAATTGTGACTAAGTTATGTTTGCTGCCCTCAATCTTGATAATGAAATGCAGACCTACCAGTGCTGCCGCATTTGGTATGTGATTTGTGCAGCCACCACTTCAAGCTCCTCGTATTTGAGGACAAGAACTCACACATACATGTAATGTTGTAAAAAAAAAAGGGTATCAACATTTTTCAGTTTCTCACAATTTGCTTCATGTAAGAATTGAACTTAAGTTTATAAAAAAAAAATTTTCGTTTTTAAGATGGTTCTTTTAGGGAAGTGATCACAGAGAATTAACATCTTTCATTGTAGGCGTGGACTGTCAGAATTCTATTATCCTCCAGGCAAAAAATATAATATAATTTTAAAAAAAAAGAAAAAAAGATAACCAAAGTGGCTACATTTCCATTTTCAGATATATAGAAGGAAAAGTCCTCAGAGGACATAATGTGGCATAGGCCTACCTAGGAGGTCTTGAAATGGGGTGGAGGATGAGTGGGAGGGCAATGATTAAGTGAGAGGGTGCAGCTGGCAAAATAATTTGATTTTTAACTACTTGCTTAGTTTTTGTTTAAGAAATTTCTACGGAGGAGTGACGCAAGCTTTTTTGGGGAGCACCCCTTCCCAGGCATACCCCTAAATTCGCCACTGACAAACATGCTTCATAGATCTTCCTAAAAGAGATTAAAAAAGTCTCACACCTGCCAAATGCTCCTACTTTTCATTGCTGGAAATAGCATACAATGGCCTCTTGGACATTTTTGCAGAAACTGAAATACTCATCATCTATTGGTGAAGTTAGATTGCTTTCTCAGTTTGCCATAATCTTCTGGACGGGATGATTTTTTTGAAGCGTAATGTAATAATCTAGATTAGGTCATATTATGTAGACTAATGTTCTAATCCAGACTTCGGCATGGCTTTTATTTCCTTTTAATAGAAGTAGGTTAAAACCATTTGAAAACCATTTTCTCCGCCTGCATGCCTTATTACTCATTAGTGGTAGATTCAAGTATCGTTTTTTTTTTTCATCTGTATTTAGAAGTTAGGTATTTAAGGAATGATTGATTGTGCTGCATTTCATCAAGGTGTCGAAATCAATTATACAAAACCTAAATTTAAAATTAATGGTAGTACCTGCATGGAATTGTTATTATTGCATTTATGAACTATTGCAGAAAATATGATTATAATTTATGTAGCATTGATAATAGAAGAGTCAATTGTTCATCTCCCCATTGCCTCTACCTTGCTAATAAAATAATATAATAATTTGTTTTTATAGCCTTTTTACACAACCTAAGCTTATCTCACAGAATTTAGCACTCAAATTAGCACTCAATCAAAAAATAGAAACCATGAATTACATTGTTTTTATTAGCTAGTTTTTGGGTGTCTTCTACTAACATAATGTCATAGGTTCTGACATAATGTCAAGGCTCTGAGTGTTAAAAGAGTGCGGTGTCAGTAGCAGGGGTCCTTTAGCTCCCTCTCCCAAGAGCCCATAGAGGTATGCAACAGCTTTAAACAACTAACCCAAGGGAGATTGTACAGTATTGTCCAATGGTAGCCCTAGTGTCTAATTTACTAGCCCAGCTCATCAGGGCAGGTCTACAAGCTTGATCATTTACTAAGCTCTAAATTATTTGAAATGAGGTTAATTTCTTAATGAAAGCCTCTTACTAGTGCAGGTGAATTACTGTTTCACAGGTTTTAAGGTCGATTGGATCTCTGTGCTCGTTAGCTCTGTATCATAATGAGCCATCAACGCTAATTCCACGAATTCAGGATGTAACTTATCATTCATTTGACTACTATTAAACTAGAACCTCGAAAAACTAGGACACATAAATTATCTGTTCAATGATAAATTATCAATATCTATGTACATTACTACAAACACTGTGATGACTAATATTCATGACACTGCTGCGGTGATGTAATGAAGCTTATAAATATTCGTAGGCTTATAAATATTCATTAGTCTGCTGCAATGATGTAATTAAGCTGATAAATATTTATAGGCTTATAATATGCTACATTGGAATAAAATTAAGCTGATTTATAGCTTATTAATATAAAGGATTCAGGTCTAATGTACAGGCACAGTATGTAGTGAATGGCGTGAGTCTCCTGGAAATTAGCATGGCCTCATGAATTCCCGGGACCAAGCAAATGTTTTAAATAATCATATGCTTATAAATATTCATTAGTATGCTGCAGTAAATGCACTTGGCCTATCCGGAGTGCCAACTGACCAATCAGAACAGTGCCAGAAATACACACGTATCCAACATGCACACATGTTGTCCCACAAAACGTGTATGTTTTAACACTGTCATTTTGTGGAGTCTTAGCAACAATATCCAAGAGGCAGGACTTAGCAGAAAGGTCCATTAAGCTTATTTATAGCATTAATATTTATCGATGTGTTCAAGTTTAGTGTAGTGAGTTACCCGAGTCTCCCAGAAGTCAGCATGGTCTCATGAATTCCCGGGAGCAAGTCTCAAAGTAGCCTTCCCCCCCCCCCCCTAGACTGTTTTTGTGTTTACTGCCACTTCGGGGGGGGGGGGGATGCTGTAGACACTTGGACATAAATCGTCTCACTTATAAGTTGTGAGAGTAAATCACCATTGCATTGTAAGTTTAAGATGGAAATTAACAGTCTCCCAAATGTAAGTCATGTCTCCCCATAGAACTTACCCCAAAAAAACTATGTCATGCAGTAGACATGTGTTCCCACTGGGAGCCTATTTTTTCTAATGTATTATGGCCTCCTTGAAGCTATTTGGCTATGGGTGTCACCACATTCACATACAACAAAATACACAATAATACTGTATGTTAAAAGAGGTCATTAAACCCAGAAGTGGTGTGGTTTCTCTCAACATATTCACGAGTATGCTTAGATTGTATGACAAAATGTTTATTTAAATAATATCAATAATTACAATAAATAATATACAATATATTACTATGATAAGTGTTCATGAGTATATAGCTATGATCAACATATTAATATTCATGATACAATGCTTGTATTACCTAATGAATATTCATGTTTCTTATAAATTATGCAGTTTGTTGACTACCCAAAATTATTAGGTGAGAATGGATTATCATCTATTCTGTGACCTTTTGTGGGTCGCAGGATGCTTAACTGATTTATTATGTGAATATTCATGTCTGTCATAATTCATACAGTCAGTAGACTACCTAAAATAATAAGGTGAGAATGGATTATCATCTATTCTGCTAACTTTCTTGGGTCGCAGGATGCTCAACTGATTTATTATGTGAATATTCATATGTCTCATAATTTATGCAGTCTAGACTACCCAAAATTATAAGGTGATAATGGATTAACATCTATTCTGTGACCTTTGTGGGTCACAGAACTCTCAACTGATTTATTTATGGATGGATTTATTGGGTGTAAACACACCAAGGATAACCCACAAAAGTCTGAAGAAGACTTGCTTCCATTGAGGTCCTTCTGGTGGTGATTGGGCAGTACATCGGCAGACAATCCCCTACTCTTTTCCGAATAGTGTGCTGCGTTCTGTGCACACAGGCCATTATGCACACATGACCTCATCCTCATCCAAAAGATGGTGCGCTATCGTAATTTGCATTTCAGCCCTCTAGCTAAAACACAAGAAGAGCAACAATGGGAATTGAACCGGGGACCTAGAGATCTCCACGGTTCAGCGCACACACAGTGGCTAACACCATTTTAGCCGACTGAGCCAGCTACTCTTTAGTTCCTTAGGTATAAACCCACCCCTACCTTACGCCCAATTTTACATACCAGCCCCAGATATAATTTCCAAGTACAGTAGTTTTGGCTGACTTTTGTAAATGCTCTAAAAAAAAAATCAAATATTAAGTTTGAATTAGGCTTGCAGTGTTAAAAATGGAATTCCCAGGGATATACTGTAAGCCCACCTCCCGAAAATCGGCCCACTTTTGTGTTCAGGGGGGGTGGGGGCGTGGTTGGGCTTATAGCAGGGGAACTATAGTATTTTTCATTCTTTCTTTTTACTGAATGACACTCTAAGGACAGAAGCACTGATTTTCAAAGTGGTTCATTATTGCCATAAAAAAGATGAAAGCAAATATTTGAAAAAATAATTTCAAAATTAATAAAGAAAAATTGACTTTTCAGCAATTTGCTGTATCATGTTTTCTTTTTCTAAGCTAACCTTAAGGTTAAGCGAAATCTAGATCTGTCCACCCCTTGATGCTAGTCTTCCATCTGTGTTTCTGTTTACCTGTGGGATATGATCTTTTAAAAGATCCAGGCTATATCAATTATTTAATCAGCATTTTTAAAGGTTATCAATTACATTAAAGAGATATATATTCTTTTTTTAAATGTCTAATTAGACCATAAATGTACGAGACCACATGACATTTAAACTCCCTTTGAAAAGTCAATGCTTTTACCATTAAAAAAAGAAAATTATTCAAAAATAGCATTGAGTATCGCTATATTTGAATCTTTAGTCATGTTTTAATTATTCAAATGAAAAGGATGATTTCCTATTTTGTGATCAGTTTTTCATTAAACAGAAATGTTATTAATCCTTTCCTTTTGTTGATATTGTCTGTTCTTATTTGTTTTGTCTATTTTATAGCCTTTTTGTATTTTTACTGTTCTTATAACCATTTCAAGCTAATTTCCAATCACTCTATGTACTGCATCCTAACTGTTTCCTTCCCCTACCATGTATTGCTCTATGGTCTGCTAGAACTGCCACTTTTGCTGCTAACTTCTGTCACTCTGCTTCCTCACTCTGTCTTCTTTCCCTAGCCTCTATCAGTCTATGGTCTGCACCTTTTCCTGATAATCTCTGTAAAATCTATCTAACACTGTTTTCTTCCCAGGGCTAGCCCTTATTGGCGGGCTAGCCTTTGTTGGCAGGCTAGCCTTTTTTGGCGAATCAATTGGCCAAGCAGTTAAGGCAGGGGCACCATAACCTACAGGCATTATATAGGCACTGGCTTGAGGCGCACACTCGCCTGTTTTTCTGGTGGTATAACAAGTCTTCTCGGATAAGGACTATAAACCGTAGGCCCAGTGTACTCAATAGGCTTATCTGCACTTTAAAGAACCCAGTACATCATTCGAGAAGAGTAGGGGGCTCGTCCATACAGCCCCTGTGGTAGACAGACAAAAGTAGCTGGTACCAGTTTCCCGAGACCCTTCAGTATATAGGAAGTTACTGAACAAGATGTCCACGTATTGAGCGCCATGAGTGTCAGGTTTGGCGGATACCGGCGCTATACAAACATCCACTATTATTATTATTTATTCTCTACTGATTTTGCTGTATTCTACCACTGCTATCGTTTTTTCCTCACCTCTCACTCTTTCCTAGTGCATTTCCTTGCACTGTCTCCCTTTCCCTATTATTAATACTCAGTCTAATATCTTTTTACTAAATTGTACTGTTGTTTCATTTTTCCTGTCATGTGTTTTATTCAGGATTAAAATTAGCAACAATAGTCTCCGTGGATCCTTGAAGGTGAAAGTTTTGCAACAATGTTGCTCTAAATATACAAAGAATACAAACTAAATGCATTAATGCCAATTATGACTAACTTTCACTATTATTGAGAAGTGTTATGTTTACAACATTATTTATAGTAAATCACATCAAATGAAATTAGGCCTAATTTATACCTGATTCTAGCAAAGGTTACTCCACTTTGGCCCATGTGTACGTATATAGAATCCATAGTGAAATAGAGAAAGTAGGCTCTTATATTCTTATACTCTGTTCTTCAGTTTCTTTTCTATCCAGAATTTCAAGTGTTAAATTTTTGAGCTCTGAGAATTGCACCGGAGACTGAAGGCAATAAATAGAAAAAAGAAATATTGTAAAAAGGATAGAACTTTTTTATTTATGAAATTCTGATTGATGTTTCCTTGATTGTCAACAACACAAGCTTCAACAGGAGAAGCTTCCTTAAATTTAATCACTGAAAGTTCTATGCCCTCAAATTTAGAAAGTTTTTTTTTTTTTCTCAATAGAAAAACAAATTTAAACAAGTTTGTTATAAACTTATGTTGGCTATTTTCTATGTTACTAGCTCATATTGTATTCTCACAATAGTTGGGTAACCGAGAATTGCACCAGAGGCTGAAGGCATTAAATAGAAAAAAAAATATTGTAAAATGGGAGAAATTTTTTTATTTTATTGATGTGTCTTCAAGATAGGTTGTCAACAAAACAAACTTCAACAGGAAAAGCTTCCTTCAATGAATTTAGTCAATGAAAGTGCTATGTCCTCAGAATAGGAAAACAAATGTAAACAGTTTGTAAATTTATATTGGCTATTTTCTATGTTACTTGTTTATATTGTATTCTCATAATATTGGGGTATTCATGCTCTGCCTGAAAGGGGTAATAATTTCCTTCCACAAGATCAAGACATTATGTGTCACAAGTACCGAAGGCTTGAGTGCAAGTAAGCCACTCCTATCATCAAACGAGGGGTGTCATATTGAATGTATCAACACCAAATTCACCCACATTGTAACGCCTTTGATGTTTTTGACGAGCTATGTACTGACAGATGAACACTAAGTGACATTTAAAGACTAGTTCAAACTAGATAGGAGAGATAAAGTTCAATGCTAATTGGCCTTCCAAACTCGCAGGGGCTTAGTTCCGACAGATAGGTTTTTCTCACCTCTAACACCCATATTCTCATGTTAAAAAAAAAAAAAAGTTGAAAACACAATTGAACTTTCCATTATTAATTACTGGTTGCAGTCCCCACATAGTAATATAGTTTACAATTATGTACCCCATTAACAGTACTTCATGATCTATGTATCTAACTATAAGGTATAAACATTGGAGTTGATAGGCATTTGTTAAAGAAGTAAGGGAAGGCTAGCTGAGGGTAATGAGATATTTCTGCCATAAGCTCAAAAGCCATTAGTTTTAGTTGCATCTACTTTCTTTTTGGGAATTAACATCTCCACACCCCTCCCCCTTCCCTTTAGATACATCACCGTACTATTATAACATTCCACTATGTTATTTTTGCAAAACCGCACTATAACTACTAGATCAAGAAATCATAGCCCCTTCCTCCAACTGTATTACATTATAAAAGTGTGTCACAGTTACGAAATTTATTTAGGTCACAGGTCTGATTTGATTATAAAAAGATAGAATTTATAAATTGAATGAATATTAAATTTCCCTTCTAATACACTGCCTGTTTCTGTTGCCTCTAGTCGTGATACAAGTACAGATCTGGGTAATTTGTATTTCAAGAATATTAAAAATATTGATATTTGCTCATAACATTACTAGAAGCATGGATATATTTATGAAATAATATTTAGGTCACACCAGAAACACAAATTATTTTATATAATTAAGACAACCATAAACCTTCAAGCTTTGGTTATAATTTTCCTACCAGCTAATTTTGATCAACTTAATTTTTTTTAAATTAGAACCCACATATAAGATGATTAAACAAATACTATCTAACGAGATGAATTAATATATAATATTGACCATTCTATTGATCAGCAAATCAGAATTTTTTGATGGGGTTAAAATTTGTGCATGATTTGTGTATGATTTTTTTTGTATGCAGTATTGTACCATAGACTTCATGCTGTAACTTAAACATTGAATTCAATATAACATAACATTTTTTCGCATAAATATAGAAATTTATATTTTTAATAGTAATAGTGAGATATGTAAAGAATAAAAATAATATAGTAAGAAGTGTAAAGAATGAAAATATAAGAAGGGAGAAGGCAGGTAAAACCTGAGAAGGAAAGCAAATGTTGAGCTGGGACGGCCTGAAAAATATTTTTTTTTTAAATAATGAAAAAAAGAGGGACAGAATAGGACAAAACAGGAAACAAATTATCTAACAATATTTTTATGCATTTTTCTATTATTTATTTTTCATGCAATGTTAAGTTAAAAAATACAGTACTATTTCCATTCAGACAATAAATTTATCTTGTTTCTTAACTAAAGTCGCATCTAAGCCTATGCTAGGCTTAGACTTATTGCGTAACAGGATATTTTGATTTCTGCAGGTTGGTATTTAGCCTTTTGAAAGTGGGAAATATAGGCATCTTAAAAAAAAGCAAAGAACAATAGAAATTTCATAAGGATTTCTTGCATTTAAAAATTAATATTTTTAATTTTTTGGTTAATGCTGACTTCCTGTCCCCTTTATTCAGCAACTAATGATGAACTTTAACAAATAATTCATCACAATAACAACAAAAAGTAGGTTATTCAGATCCGAATCAGATAACTTTATAATTGTCCTTCGAAATTGTGATATTAATTAAACAATTCCCTAATTATCTTTGATTAACTGTGCATCCAATTGACAGATGTAAGCACGAGGCTTAGATAGTCACGTACACTGGCGTTTCTTACGCATTGTAGATTGCTGGCGTTTTGCCCATACGATTTGCCTGCTTCCTCTTGTTGCATTCCTTCCAATGTCAACAACTCCCTTGAAAATTCAACAGTTAGATGATGTGATAGAGTGCATTATCAAACTGCAACATTTAAAATAACTAAATTAGAAGAAATCATTATGTTAAGGCTTGGCAGCATGCTAGGATATTGCGTCGTTCGTGAGGGCGGGGACTTTTTAGCACTTGATTGCATGCCAGGCTGATGTACAGTATGTACGCGTTATATAAGCTTCTAATTTCCAAACCTGCTGAATGAATAAAGCAATTATATTCTCATTTTTATAAAGTTGCAAAATCAAGATTATTTGTCAGGTTATATCTTTTAAATTCAATGCTTTTGCTTCAAAAAATATCATAAAATTTAAAGTAACATTATTATTTTTTTGTATTACAAGTCTCCCTCTAATTAAATACATCTCCAATTAAAGACCGCCTCCATTACTTTTCTGTGGTCCCAAACTAACAAATGTATTTTACCTTTATTATTCTAATTAGAGACCAAAGCGGCTAAAGACCATGTAAACCCTGCAGACCTGTATTATTATTTTAAATTTTGATTTTATATTTTATTGCTGTATGTATAATATTTATATTTTAAACTTTGTATTACATTGGAACAAAATATTATTACTGTATAGATTTTTACCTGTATGTTTATTTAAATATACGCCCCAAAATAATTAAACCAAAATAATTAGGCTGAATGTTTTAACTCGAAGTCAAATGTTTAAAAAATGTCTGACTGCGAAGGTAATATGTTAACCAGTGAATATTTTCTACAAATGTTGTTATTAATAATATTATTAGTGTTACAAATCAACTTTCTATCTTCTTAGTTATAAATACATATATGTTTTTTGAAATTCTTCAATATTATGTATTAAATTTTGCTGTTCTAACCCATTTTAGGGACCGAGTTTTCCACTTATTCCTGACTAGTATCAATGAAATTGTCTGTAAAAGTTGTTTTTGTTGTTTGTTTATTTTTTCAGTTTTTTTTATTTAATGTGACTTGGTGGTTAAGTTGGTACTCTTCCAATTACACCCTAAGTCTCATAAAGAGACTTAGTTTAAAAAGTAGGTCTAATATTCCATCTTGTACATTAAACAGCAATGCATTTACTTACCTACCTACACATACAAATATTTTAACTTTTTATTACGCATTCTAAAAAAAAAATGATTTACTTTCATTGTGTCAAATCGAAAGACAGTATGTTTGAAAGACTTGATGTATATTAAAAGGTCAAGAAACTTTCATGTATATCAGTGGTAGAAGTACTGATTACACCACCACAATACCCAAGTTAGCACTAAGCATTTCAGGTAAAGGACCGAGAGACCAACAGGTTTATATAATGAATTCATCAGGTTTATTTTGTTTTTCTGTTTTTCAAGGACGTTTGATATTTGTTTGGGAATACTGTAGGGTTATTCTGTTCATGTGTCATAGTTTGTGGTAAAAGGATGTTGTTATTAAATGTGTTATGACATTAAAGAAATGTCAGAGCTTGACTTTCATAGCCTGTGGCCATCGAACCAGGGATTATATTCAAGGTTACTGCTGTAGTATTGTCATTGCCACTAAATTTTAAAAATTCAAAGCAAGTCAAGTATGTGCTACTTACTTGTAGTTGTACCTTTTCTGAAACTGTTCTGCACTCCCCCTCCCCATCAGATCAGCCCCTGATGATGACAACAGCAAATGCAGTGATGATGACAAGGAGGGAGTGGAGTTGTATAGCTTTGTGATTAAGGTGCTTGCCTTCAAATCCTAGGTTCCTGGGTTCAATTCCTGTCAGGGTAACAACACTCCCTAAGGCTGATAATGAGACTTGGTTTATGTAGAGCATCTTGTGTTTGTTGGATTTGTGAAGGGATATGCCACAAAGAAAAGTTTGCTGTTTGGCGTATCATTGACCTAGGATCTAAAAAAATAAATTTTTAAAACTAGAAATTGCAAACAGCAAGTGAAGTGCTGCGAAGTACAACTGCATAAAATGTTCTTCGTACAAAATTATTTATGGGAGTCAAGTGAAAATAATGAATAATAAAAATATAACAAATAATATGAGCACGACCCATTGTCTATATATTATTAGAACAGCGTTGGTACAATAGAGTTTTGCTGCATTGACATCTCTCTGCTGGCGATGGCTCGCTGCTTCTGGCGATGACTCGCTGCTGGCGAATCGATCTGCGCATGTGTATAAAATGGTATTTATTTCCGCAAACATTATGCCAGTCTACAACAAGCGTCGCCTAAATGTAATAATTAGCACGTTGAAATAGGCTGGTAAACAAGTTTAACTGGGTTCGTGAATAATATTGTCCTCAAAATATTGTGGCTGAGACATGAGCCGATTAAACGTAGAAATAGGAAACCTAGAAATATAGTAAAAACGCTGAATAGTACTCCAGCGTCGCGACATGCCGACGATGGTACGAGTAGGTTGTAGGTCTACAAACGTCGCCTAAAGTAATTGATTTTACGCGGCAGAACGAAAGAAGGAAACTCCGCTTTTCAGTTGTCTCAGGCGATTGATTTTTGACAAACAATGACCTTTCAGAGGTCAAATTGTTGTCAAGAATATGAATTGGCTGCTTCGCAGCAAAAAATTAAAAAGCTGGTGACTTAAGATTTAAAATATATAAGTCTTGTAAATCTAAAAGGAATCCAGCTTATATGTACAGTACTTCCTCATTCTGGAGGCAGCTCAGGTGGTGCTTCAGTTCCTATTGGCTTGGACAAGTAGACCAATTGGAGTTATAGGCAGCATTGGGGGCACTATTGGAGGGTCAGGGCACCTTGTCAAAGAAGCAAGGACCCCTGTCCTCTTGTATGCTTCAACTCAGCAAATGTACTTGAGGTCATCAGACTAAAAAATATTTATTTGCCAAGTTAACCAATATTATTGTGATTGCAATTCTTTAGATTGTGGTGCAAAAGCATAAATTTTACTAACTATCCTAAGCTTGCAATCACTTTAAACCCCCATATGATTTTACTCTTGGGACCCTGACCGAAAGCCTTTGGCAACCCCTTAATAGACCTTTCCGGAATGTCAATCAAACTGACCAATCAGAACAGGGCAACCTAACAACTGACTAATCAGAACAGAGCTAGGAATACATTTGCGTCTCACAAACACAGGTGTTGTCCTACAAATGTGTTCGCATATGTTTTTAACACCGTTGTTGGACCTTAGCAACAGTATCCAAGGGGCGGGGCTTAGCAGAAGATCCATTCTGACGACTGTCAATTTTGTTGACCATCTTGTCAGTGTCACTGAATTTCTGTAGCCACCATTGATAGGCAGTCATGCAAATAGGTTTATATAATTTTAGCAAATATTCACATCACAAACTCTTTTTTAAATATTAATGTGCTCTATTAATTCTATAACATCACTATAGACAGACTCCCATATATGGAAGGCATTACTGATGACCATCCCCAACCAGTACTCCAGTTCTTAAACTGGATCCATGCAACCTTGCACAATGCTATGCTCATTATTATTCAGATGCAGTGTAGGCGACCACTAGCATTTTACATTCTTGTCTGTCTGTTAGATCTTTAATGTGTTCAGTTGATTGTATCCCTTGAATGTATCACAGATAAAAAATGTCCTCTTTTACATATGCCATGGGGAGGGGCATAGTGCAAGCAGCTACATTAATACCTCATACTTCAGGCAGCCCTAGTCATGCTTTGTTTCCCTGGCCATTGAGTTCATGCTTAATGTGCAGTCATCCTCCTCACATCATGATCTGTTCTATCATGAACCATTAATCCATATCAATATTGACATTACCTGTGTACGTTTTAATTATATAATGTATACATTTATGTAACATCATATGTGAGGGTAGATGAGTCAGCAGTAAATGGTGCACCTGTTGTCCTTGCTTCCTAACATGTGACCTGTCATGTGACCTATGGCAATGATCTTTAAAGGTCTTGCACAACCTTGGCAGTTTTACCAGGTACCATCCAGGCCTTTCCAGGTAACTATCAAATTTACTCTAGTTAAATTATGAGGTCCATTGGCCTTGACTAATCACTAGACATTTATTTGCTGAAAGCCTTTAATTGCAGTTAAATTTGATTATGCATTTAGGGTACTTTCCTTACAGAGTCTGAAGTTATAGGTACCATAATGAAATCTGAAAAAAAAATACTAAACTTTCTATTGAATAATTTTTTAAATGAATCATTATTAATAATGAATAATAATTACCACTTAATTAAAGAATATAGAATCAGTATTATTTAAGCCAAATTAATATTCACTGATAGTTTCACTTCCCAACTTCATCAAATTTTCTGACCATCATGAAAAAGTTTACTTCAAAAAAAGCATTCATTTTTCCATGGACAATAAAAATAATGACTATCTGAAAGAATGGTGTCAAGCCTTAGGGCCTGTTTCTACTGGAAAATAAAAATAGATTAAAAATCGCTTTTTTGAAAAAAAATATAGATTAAAAACATACAATGGATGGCGTGTTTGAACAGCAAACCGATTTTGGCTTTTTGGGAAAAAAATATGGATTAAAAACATACAATGCATAGCGTGTTTGAACAGCAAATAACCGAGTTTGGCTGTGCACTTTTTAGCTGCAACAAAAAAAAAGGGATTATCAGGTGAAATGTGATCTCCAGGTCAAACCACTGAGAAGCTAGATCGTATCAAGCCTGAACTTTCAAAATGATTAGTCCTCTTGTTCAGGTCGTAGGCCTCAAACTAAAACGTGGGGTATATTGGGCCTAGGCCTCTCCGCTCTTTTGGGCCTACTATTGTCCTGGTTTGTTGTGCCGATGAGCACAGCCAAAAACATTTGCCTTCTCGCCACACACCCTCTCTTACTCCTCGTCATCATGACAGGAATGAGAAAGATACTATACAGTTTGGAAAACGTGTTGTATAAACAAAATGGTGACATAATTTCCGTCACGAAAACTTATTTTCTTAAAATTAACGTAAGATTCAAAAATTAATAACTAAGCGCAAGTAACAAAAATTTCTTGTTTCCCATCCTGGGTTTTTCATTAAGTTGGTGAGGGAGGCATATTTTTTACAGTTCGTCAAAATATTCCAAAGAATGTTCTCTGCATAGTAAAATGTGTTGTAAACAATCTGTCAGTAGTTTTGTCATTGCTTCTCTTGCTGCTGTTATGGTTTTTGTGTTAAAAATTGCATTTGTAAACTATAAATGCATCAAATTTTGCATTTTCGATGTTAAAAAATCCCAAAACTTTAAAAATAAAAAACAAAAATATTCATATGGGCCCAGAAAATGGTGAAAGGTGGGGGGGGGGGGGGAGGGGAAACAAGGAATTTTTGTTATTTGGCCTAATATATACCTATTTTGTATTTTTGGAAGTATATTTGTAGTGTTTAAAGATTTGTCTTTCAGTAATCTGTGTTAAAGTTTACGTACAACATGAATCATAAATTATTTCATAACAAACATAGGAGGCATTACCCTGTAATGTAACACTCCCTCATGTTGCTGCGGTCGAGGAACTAGTATTCTAGTTCATGATACATTACAGCCTTTCACTGAAATGACTCCATGAACTCCTCTTCCACTTCCTTTTGTGTGTTTTTTTTTTTTCCGTTTGAAGTCATGTTGAGCAGTAAAGTACACCATATTGTTTGTGGGATCTTTTTCTATAAATTGTTCATTTCTTCATTGAAACAATAATGTGCAATACTTGTTTTTGTTATAATATAATTATACTTGAGACAATAAGTTTGAAAATTAAAACCTAGTTTAATTATCAAATTAGAAAACTTATAGAAAATGATTGAATTTAGAGATATACTGTGTATAAGAAATGTTGAGGGTAGTAATTTATTCACTGTATAGATTATTCTTTTTTTATAAACATGCTTGAGACAATTAAGAAGCTATAAACTGGTTTCATTATCAAGATAGAAGCTTATAGAAGCTAATTTATTATTATTATTATTATTATTATTATTATTATTATTATTATTATTATTATATTATTTATTATTGAATTGTGAGACACTGTAGGAAATGTTGAGGATAGAGTAATATAGGGTAAATATAATGGACCATTATGCTACAACCCTTTCCTTGGATATTGTTGATAGGTGCAACCAATAGTACAATTCACATGTAATGTGTGTTTGTGAGACAACATACTGTTTGTGCATCAATCTTGTATTCCTGGCTTCGTTCTGATTGGTCAGCTGTTAAGTGTGATTGGCACTTCGGAAAGGTTCATTAAGAAGTTGGATAATAATACATGGATAAAGCCTACATTATAAGTTCAGTACAAATACACATACTATATGCTGACAGACACGATGACACACCAACAGACAGACCGACAGAGACACAGACACTCCATCAGGCAGTTTGCCAGCGCACTTGAAGGACAAACAGTAGTAGTAGATACTTCAAAGAATTATTAGACAATTTATACAAGTGTGTCAAATATAGAGACATACCACCTTGCACACACTAAAACACATGCCCTACCTTTCTAAAGAATAAAATAGTTTATATTAAATAATGGATGAGCAAACATACCACTGTTGTGAGGGTCCAAATTGACCTAAGCACAACCATAGTTAGGCCTGAAGTCTGAACATGCTGTCTGCTCAATCTATCTCCTATGTTTATGAACATTGTATGCGCATTGGTTTTATAAATTTATTTTTATTTGTTTATTTACATATATATTTATTTATTGATTGTTTATTTTAATACAAATGTAAATGTTACTGAAATTTGAATCCAGTTTTTGTGCAAGTAAAATATTAATTTTACTGGGTATATAAAATACATTGTAGCTCTGTACATTTCTTTAAATCTGAAATTTTGTTGATGAGATGTGTTTCTGTAACTTAATCTTATTTTTTTATCTTACAGAGCAGTACAACAGTTGAATCGATAATTTATGCAAAGATACCGGCACATAAAAGGTGAATACACTCTAACCAGTGGTGGCCTGGACAATCGACCGGAGGGGAGGAAGAAAACAATTCATCCGGGAGGGAAAAAAATGAATATTTACAAATTAGTTAGACCCTAAAATCAATTCAATAAGCCTTTGAAACCCTTAAATTATCATAGTTTTTGGAGGCTTTACCCCCTGAACCACTTTCAAAAGATCTTGAGCAACGCCCTTGACATTGGAACCCATCAGGCATATCCTAGAGCCACTTCTGTTTCTAAACTTAATGACTAGGTGGTTGGGCTTCCAGTTTCTGATCATACAGTATGGTCATAGGTTGAAGTTGGCAACTAGTATATTATGTCTTTTTTTGTCTCATCTAAATAATGTAACTCATAGATGATTTTATGTACCAAGTGACAGTGCAGGGAGACACGAAGATGAGACCTTTCCCCGTCAAGCAGACCAAGCCCCTCCATCGGCCATGACTCGTCAGAGTGTGTTATTTAAAAGCCGGGGGTGTGCGCATGTCTCAAAAACTCACTAGTTGATGTGTATTTAGGCTGTCGTTTTGTGGAACCTTAACAATGGTATCCAAGGGGTAGTAGGTTGTACTAACAAAATGGTTTATTGATTGATTGATTGATTAATGGATTCAGTGATTGATTGAGTGAGTGGTTTCTCTATTCATTTATTCTATTAAAACATATTGACATACAATTGCCAATATCTTACATTACATTTAATAGGGGTTTAACTAAAGATGTTTGCTGTTAATTATTACTATTTATCACCATCAACATGATAACATGTCATTGATTGATTTATTTATTGACTTTATTAGATACTTACCCTATTTAAACACAATGATGTAAATGTTCTTATATTCTCATAAGCCGTGTCCATACCACCAGGATTTATTTGACAAATATATGAGATGTATGGGTGTATTTTTTCTTCTTTTTTTTTTTCAACAGTACCAACAGTGAAAATTAATTGCCACTTACAGGCTTATAAACGAATCATGTAAACACAGACAAGATATATAAAAACAAAGACAAGGATACAAAGAAAAATGAAAAGTGTGTAATATTAATCAATCAATATAATATTATGACATCATTGAATACCATATGTGGGCAAATAATACATACTTGTTAAATATAATTTAACGGTGTAGACAGCACTTAATATGATAATGTTTTTAAGCATATTGACATAGATGAGAATTATCGGAATCACCCATTAAGTCAGGCTTTAGACGTAGAAAGAGGCCAACTTATTTCCTATATCAAATCCTAAATTATTAATGAACTGAGTTAGACATAGTGAGAGCAGCTAAATGATGACAAAGATTTATGAGTCAGAAAACAGAACACAAAATACGAATACAGCAAAGATTCGGGTTTGTTTGATCTTATAGAAACTCATACCAAATTAACAAACCACATTATGTTATACAAATGTATAAAGTAAATAGATAAAAAATATACATTTAACTTCATAGTATGGATGTAAGAAGCACTGGCGCATCGGTTGTGGCTTTGACTCCCAACCTTGAAGTCGGGTTCAAAACTCACACTGTGCAAGTCGCTTGTGTCCTTAGGCAAGGCGCTTTATCTACGTTTGTCTCTCTCTACCCAGGAGTATAAATGAGTACCTGGTAGGATGCTGTGGCATTGGATGTACTAGTTTCGTGTGCGGAGTACAAGCGCACGACTAGGTATACTCCCCAGGGAGCAGAGAAAGGCACATTTTTGTGTTGGTTTGCCATTGTATGTTAGTTATCCAGTGACCAGGGGTAATAACGCTCAGCACCTTTGATTATTCAATTTGTAACTGGAGCTTTATACATATTTGGCATTATTATAATACTATCTGTTAAGTATAGGAAATACATAATGGCTAAGGAATCATTCTGCTCCCACTTTGGAAATTTGCTGAGCAAAATAATTACACGTAAGAATCATCTCAGTTAGCTAAAAATTACCTTATATCACCATTTCCACCCGGTTAGCTCCCATTCGCTTAATCTTTGATCTCCCTGCTACATATCCTTCGCCCCCATCATACTGCCTCATGTCACTACCACTAGATGTGACACTACTGTATACTCGGTGGTTCTTGTAAACAGTAGTAGCAGTGTTCTCCCAATCGAACATTTTTACTGGTAAATTTGACCATAAAAATTAAGCTATGTGTACAGTGTGAGGCAATACTCCTTTGAAGTGGGGTTTAATGACTTGAAAGAAATAACAAAAAACATAAGGCATAGACTGGAATGATGTTCATTTATTGAAAGAAGGCCAGCCTAGACTACCTTGGCCTAATCTGTGGTTTTTATATTTTACCAACACAAATTAAAATTGTTGGCCGGTTATTTTTACCGGTAAAATTGACAGCCCAAATGGCTTCGGGAGAACACTGAGTAGAATGAAGAATGATAAACAATAGAATATAGAATAAATTATAGAATATGCTGTTTAAATACAATATTAAGATGGACATCATAATCAAATTGATTTTAGCAAATAATAATAATAATAATAATTCTTTATTTGTCCTCGTATATGTATGCCTACACACTGGGAAATTCGGGCTGGGTCCCCGGGGACCCGCGGCTGCCATAGCTCGGCGCCAACTACCCCACTTACTCTACAACATCAAACGGATACAGACTGATACATACATGGTCCTTAACTCGCTTAACTCTCCTGAGAGGGTTATTCGAGGAGCTGAGCGTTTTGTTATTAAGACCCGAATTCAATACTCGATGCAGAGCCGGGTATTGAACCCGGGCCCTCGCGTGCAAGAGGCAGGAACCATACCAATTAGCCAAATACAAAGTATTTTGTTATCTGGTATTTTTTGTATCACCATGCTTGTCTTATTCATGCATTATGTAATTTTCATTTTTCTCTTCTCTTTTTAATAGACCCTCTCTGGCAAAGCAGACTGCTTTTAAAAATTTTAAAGATGTCTTTGGTACTGGCTGGGTGATATGCTGGTTGAATCCATTCCGTCGAAGGCAAGCTAAACCTATGATTTTTTACCCTCACCAGACTGTGTGATACTTTGTGATATAAATATTCAGTGTTTTTAAGATTCCAGCAAGTAAACTGTGTTTTTTATTTATATATATAAGTACTGGTTTTTTTATTTCAATCCATTAGTTAAAGCCCCATTCCCGGCAAAATTTCAGTTTTTAAGAAAAATCTGATTTTATATATATGTTATAAAGATTTATAAATATAATACGGGATTGCTAGTTCAACTAAATTTACACATTCATAAACATGAAAAAAATGTAAAATAAGACTGAAATTTGATATTTTTTTTTTTTTGTTTTCCACACGGAATAATTAATGTTTCTTTTTTTTATTTACTTGTGGGATGAATTAAAATCCATGGCATTGGTGGGCGAAATAAAAAAAAAAAATAAGATAAGAATGCGGCGGGTTCGGGAAACAATTACCCATTCCAGCAGATGCGATCTACAACCTCTGCATTTGCCTGGTAACAAAGAAGTTGTCGAGAACATGGTAATCTCCTATAAGAAACAGACGCTACTTTTTTTTTCCTTTTGGGTTTTCGTAAAACTAAAATTTATGCCAATATTTTTCCATGGTTTATAATAATTAGAGTAATGCATGCATTTTTTCTCTAAAAATTATTTTTTTAGTAAAATTTTGCCGGAAATGGGGCTTTAATAAATTTGTATTGTTTATTATATTAGGCAATACAACAACTTTTTGTTATACATATTTATTCATTTGTTTATTGTCAGTTGAATGTCAAAAAATGGAAGAATAAGTTGTGTATTGGTGCAGAAACCATTTTCGTAATTTTTAAGTGAAATCTAATAACTAACATACCATAAACATGGACCTATTAATTAATTGGTCGATGCTGTAAACAAAGTAAAAATATTCAAAATACTGAATTAAATTTTAAAGCTCACCAATAATATATTGTAATAGTTTTAAAGTGAACATTTTGGTTGTAGGCATTAGCAAACAAAGGACCATGTTCTAGTAATTTAATAGGAAATATACAATTGTCTTTTTTCCATTCTTGATTTTCGGTAATTAAGTAGCATTAAATGAGGTGGCATGCTGTGATGATATTAATTAGGCAATTAAGATCAATTCCAAATGTAGGTCAAGTTCATGTGGTCAGGTCGTTTGTATTATTCAATAAGGTGATTAAATTTAATGAAAGTCAAGATGGAGGCATGTAAATAAGTTTCATAATATTATTGCGTTAGATGTATTCATAGGAATAATTAGAACTATGGCATAGAAATTGTTGAATTATTATTGTATATAATATATACAGTAAAGTAATTTTTTACTTTTATTCCTCTTTACTAACACAAATGAATCTTTAAACACCTTTTGCCTTGTCTACAATATGAGGACCTTGTGCCTTTCTAATTTTATATATATAATCAATATAGCAAATTGGACAACAAAGCTTTCATTAGTGTCATATTTATGAACTAACAAAAACATAAAATGTATCAAATTAATTAAATTAATTGTAAAAAAATATTAAATAAAATAATAAAATAAAACTTCTACAAAAATCTGAAATTACAGTATTAGATTACTCAATAGATGTAGTCCTTTCAGGTGCAGAGAACAAAATTTTATTTAATAGAAAGAGTACTCGCTGTAGCTCAGAAAACTCATTCTTTGATTGACTATGACGCTAAGTTGGTAAATATTGGATCTGAGACTTAGTTGATGGGGTGTTTTCAGTACTACTAGTATTAGGTACTGAGGAGTGAAGTTATTCAAAGCCTTGTATGTCATGATGACAAATTTGTACTAAATCCGCATAGACACATGTAAGCCAATTAAATTTTCTAAGTGTAGGAGTGATTGTGGTTTTGGTAATGAGCTAGTCAGCAAACTTTTTTGCTTCGCTGGAGGTGATGTTGAATTAAAAGAAGGCCATACAAAAGTGAATTAAAGTGGTCAAGTTTAGCAGAGACTGATTGTATATAGTCTGGTATTAATTAGACAAAACTCTTTACTCAACAAGAAATATATAGAACTAGTTATTGACTCATTTGTTGTTATGGAACTGATTTTTGTGATTGTTATACTTCAAATTCTGTCATTCATTCAACTCCTCGCAAATTTCTTTGATGTATTTAGCAGTTGGAAAACTCATGGACCAAAATACTAAATTAAATCTTTAACGTAAAATAACATACTTGCGGGTCCTTTCGTCACCAGTTTGCAGTAGCCCCCTCACAGGAATCGACAGCAGTGCGTGTGGTATTACTAATGGCCTGTCATCGAGTGCAACCCCTCACCACCAACACATCTTTGCAATTATATACAATGAAAAGGAAATTAGATGTGATTGAAATTATTGATGTACAATTGGTAAAAGACCGGTTGACATGTCAATCAAGGGTTGCGCAACAACCCCGCATTGAGATCATTATGGTGTAACCTAATTCTTTGAACTTTAGTTGAGTAACTATAAGAAAAGTTCTTAGGGTGAATGCAAATTAGTGACCAAGTTTAGAGACTGATCCAACCAGCTGATCAGCTGTAGGACTAGCTATGCGAGATAGCAAATTATAATAAAATTATAGCCAACTGTTAAGCACTGTGCCCACTATCAATTTTTAGGTGATTTGCCCATATATGGGTATGATGTGACATCATCATATCCATATATGGGCAAAGGATAGATATTTGTCATAGAAACCTTTAAAAGCACTGTCAGGTTTTCCTGATGAAGACCCAATAAATAGTTGATGGCGTGTATTTAATATCTTGGAGTATGTATTATACTTTTGTATTTGAAAACTACACTCTCTGGTTTTTACTGTAGGTTTTAAGATAGCAAGATCTTGCACATGCCTGTTCAGTTTCATCTGAGATACATTCTGTGAAAATTTTTCAACATGAGCAATATTAACACATTCTCAGTAACATTAAACCAAGTTGCCCTTTTTGGATTGGACTTCTCTGCTCTAGAAAACAGCATGGTTTAATTCCTTGGTAGCATAGGGTGTTTTTGGATCTTATACTCCTCTGCCTCATCTAATGCTTTTTGAACTAGCCTGTTCTATGTTTGTGTCGGTGAATAGTTCCGGAGTTTGTGTTGATTTTCTTACCTGTTTTGTCATGAGTCTCTGTACACTATACCGTTTCAAATTTGCGAGATCATGGACGTCATAACTACTGTGTTTCATTTGCACATGTGATGAATTCAATAAGTGTGCCACCACTCACCTTCCATATGTTTAATCACAGGTCCTATTTTTAGGTTTTGCGGTTTTATGCTGTCTGTAGGAGCTTTGCCAAGGAATTGATCCAATCGAGTACCTTTGTGCTGAATGGATATTCTTAATTTGGCACATCTACTACTAATATTAATACTTGGACCCTCGTAAGGATTATGCTTTGTTGAAGAATTTATTTTCAAGCGACAATCTTGTGTCTTTGTGTGATACAGTATTAAAGGGGAATTCTTGCATCTTATTAGATGCAAATGATTTTAAAGGGACAGTCTTGTATCTTCTTGTGACGAAGATGATATAGGGACAGTCTTATATTTTCATGTGACTGCAGGTTGCACGAATCATGCAATGCAATTACGCATATTGCATCTTGATGTGTTGTGAAATTGCAAAGGAATGCCCTGTGAATGTTCGTATTTTTAGCTACCGCCAGTCTACTACTTTGGTTTGTTATGTAACTAGCAGTAGTCGGACTTAATGAATGATTTCTGGCAGAATAATCGACCAATCGCTCATGGTAAACTTAGTTTTGTTGTAGACCTTTCCGGAGTGTCAACAACTGACCAATTAGAATGGTGCCAGGAATACGCACGCGTATAACAAACACATGTTTTGTCCCACAATCGCATGTGATTACATGTATTTACGCTATATTCTTGGGACCTTAGCAACGATATCCAAGAGGCGGGGCTTAAGGAAAACTCTATTCTCTCAATCCAATCCCTGAACCTTTGTAGTCTTCCTCTATCTCCCTGTAAAACATTCCAACCCAGCATACAAAACAAAATTAAAACAGCTTAGGGTCAGTTCATAATTATCAAAATTTTCACAAGTGTACAAAAAATGTACTCTTTTTCGAAATGTTGTTTTTGCAAAACCATTCTTCATTTTTGTTGTGAAGTCAACTGAAATAATGTGCTTGGTTGCTTAAAAATGATTATTATGACCAAGGTTACATTATAATTATTTTACATATAGCATGTTATTTTGAGTCAACATTTTTATGCATATGTACAAGAGTGTACAAATTTGTCTACCCCCTCCCCTTACCATACTCTTTGTACACTTGTGAATATGTTGATAATGTGGAACGACCACTTAAGAATAATGGAAATCTAAATCTAAGTATAGAAATTTATATAGCACTTTTTGCCAATGATACAAAGCGCTTTGATATGCGAACTAGGAACTCGATCAATTGTGTAAGATTTCGTTATTTTTCATCTAATTAAAAGCATTCAATATGCTGAAACACCGAACATTCCAATATTTATTTATTTATTTATTTATTTTACCAATTGATCTATGAATACCTCTTGCGAAAACTTATCAAAACTCTCCCCTCCCCAAAATGCTGAAACTATGTGACCTGTTGAATTCCTTTATTTTTAATAACAATTGTTCTTTCTGTTTTTTTTGTGTCACCAAATACCACTTCCTTAGTTTTTCCAGTATGTATAATTTCTGGAAAAGGACAATGTCACATCCTGATGTTTAAAGGGACAATTATTAAGAACATTAGATGATTAATTATCTAAAACTAGATGATTTTTCTGTACATGACTAGAATAATTATATTCTAAATGTTGTCTTTCCATGATTCATTTGTAGGCATCAGTCCAATGCCATTTGAATTACCAAATGCTACCAATACCCTCCTGATAAATTAATAGTTTGTACTTGCTTCAAGCCTAGGAAGTTAGGGACTTCCCCTTTTCTTTTCAGAACCCTTATGCTAATGAGATTTTACACTCCACCAGTCAACTGGCTGCATTGTTCAATTTTGAAAACAAAATACCTTGCATAATGAATCATAAACATCAGAAAATACTGAAAAACAAAAAACATATTTATTAATGCACTAATTAGGTTAAATGAAACCAAGTGAAATTAGGAGTTAATAATTTGTAGAATATGTACATTTTTATAATTAATATAATTTACATATTGATAATAAAAACTGGTGACAAATTGACAACCATGTCTGCATGTATGCTTATCTATGACCTTTACAATAAAGTATTCCATGTCTACTGGTTTTGAGCAAGGAGATTTAGTTTGTTCAAGTTGTGGCCAGTAAAATCCTGTAACCCATCAGTCAATTTTGTTAACCTTTGACCATCCCCCGATTACTTGTTTCTGTATATAACCAGACTTAATAATGTTTTATAAGCACTGGGAAGATATTTAAATGGGTAGGCCTAGTTATACTGTTCTGTATGAACTTGACTGCATATGACATAAATTTTTATTTTTTTATTTATTTTTTGTTTATTAAATTTATATTGGTGAAGGTAATTGTGAAAGTTGTTTTGTTCATAGTGAAATGAATGTTCATTAACTGTACTTTATTTTATACCTGTAGCTTGTATTGAAATTTGAAGTTAGACAAATATATTCTTACATTTTATATACATGGGAACTGTTAGATTAAAAAAAATTGTTTTAATTAAAAATGTTCAAATGTATTATAAATCAGGGAGCAGGTAAGTTACAAGTAATTTAACTACTGTTCCCTATTATAAATATTTTAAAAAAAACAGGCCCCACTTACCTTTTCAATCGTCAATCGAAGTGTCCACACATTGAGAATAAAAAATCATAAATAATAATGTAGAACAGGAATGATTACAAAAGTGCGGGAGATATTTAATAACTAGTCTGCATACAGTAATGCAAATTTGTTCAAATTACACTAAAATTGTTGGATAAATCTACTCAACATTGTTCAACAATAGCGATAAAATGAGTAATTCACAGGTGTTAATGATTATAGATATTCAGTTACAGTAGTGATAAATACTATAGATTAGTATGGAAATGAAGAAGATGAGGTGATACATAATTTTGAAATTTGTAGTGGTAAAAAATAGGCTAGGCCTAGACCTTTGAAAAACTGCATAAAATTCTTTTGTGCAGTCTCAAACTTGACTGCTGCAAATATACACTTATACAGTTTCAAAACTGTGCAAATCCAACTATCTCTAACATGTACACTAGTCTAGAATGGCTGATCATCTTATAATAAGTATCTTTAAAGCAATACTGTAAGTGATTGTGAGCAAGCATCTGAAAGTGTCAAAGGCCTAGTTCAGACTAGGTGGATAAATCCGGCTCAACTCACCGGGTTTATCCACGTGCCAGTCTGAACTAGGTGGCTTATCTCAAGCCGGGCTGTGTTCCTATAGTAACTAGGCCTGTCGTGGCACCGTGTTTAACTTTTCTAAGCTGGGTTTTAATCGCTGCTCTGGTCTTCGATTGACTTCGGGTAAAAGAATGACCAATCAGCATTTAATTACGTGTTTTGTGAACGAGCGTACGTTTTGAGCGCAATGTTTCGAAACTCATTTTCTGGTTATGGTTCATTCAATTCAAATGCTCATGCCTGGCTAATCTCGCTAGTCTGAACGCCCAGCAAAGTTAAGCCAGGCTTTACGTAATCCTGGCTTATCTCCATGTGTGAACGTAGCCTAAGTACTGTACATCTTAATATAATTTTTTTTTTTCCAATTAAGTTTTATATGTACTTTTTAAGAATGTACTGCGAGTTTTTATATTGCAACATGGAAATCAGGGTTATTTTCATAGGCTGATATTAATATTAATCTAAGCGGACCTTAGGATGGGGGGAAAATTATAACTAAATATTATGATTAATTATTTGTTGTAGATTCTGTACAATGCCAAGATTTATAATATGACTAAATAGTTTTTAATGTTTTACTGTTAGATGTCATCTCTTTGAAAATAAACTAACTCGTACTCACCTGACTTTATACTATAGACATATTGATATATACATATGATATAAATTACATGTATTCTTATGTGGAAAAAATTGTATTTAGAATAAAGTACTGCATACTATTGTTGTCTTTGTATCTTAATAAGTATTTGATACTTTATTGTTTTTCCAATAACCATGAGCCTTCACAATGGTGACCTAATCAAATTCAGAACGTTTAGGAAAGATGATTTATGTGTTTGTAGTGCATTAAATTTTGTTGGAAAGAATAAAAATAAGGATATAAATATAATGACCATATTGACAATTTGAGCTGATAAATTATTGTGGCTTATTTCATTGTTTATTTACTTTTTTTAAGATTTTATAAAATATTGTATAATATAATATATATAATATATTGTATAATCAAATGTTTTGCTACAGGTAACTATTCATTGTTTGCTAATACCCAAGTGACCCGTGATGATCAGTGATGGCTCCAGAAATTTGCCAACAGGGGGTCTGACATGTTTGACAGGGTGGGTCCGAACCAAGGGGTCAACTAGAACCTTGGTCAGGGTCCTGGAATAAAAATTCCAGGTGGTAGGATTCACAGCGAGTTGTTTTTTCTCGCTTAGTATGGCTCTAATTGGCATTTTTAGTCCACAATATTGGCAATCAAAATAACGTTATTAGATATGCAAATTATTATTTTTGGTCCGACGACCTCGTCGTGGTGTTGGGCAGTGTGGGTTCGTGCCTGTCCAAGGAGGGGGAATTCCCCCACTGGTGCCACCACTGGCCATGATCTTGGATTTGGCAACCTAGCAGCATTCACTAAAGCTACTGCTGTATTCTTCCTATTCTATTTAATGGCAAGCCTACATTTCAGTTATCATCATGCAAGGAAGTCCTTCCCTGGAAAAAAAAAGCAAGCAGAAATGTAAATTCCTTATCAGTTATACAGTATATATTACATGTATGGATAGTAAACCCAGTCAAAATGATACTGAAACTCCAGATTCAGACTTCCAAAAGTTTATCTCAAATATCCATCATTTGTTTTTTGAACTAAAATTTAGATTGTTCTTAAATTTATTGCTACATTTTTCTTCCATGCAAATAGACAGTGTTTATAATGTATCTTTTGTCCTAGACTACCCAATATCATAACATAATCCTAGCATTAGTAACATATCAAGTCATGCTTTAAACGCTAGCTGTCGAAAGTTGATCCCTTGACATGACCTTTGACATGGGGTCTGGCAAAATACTGCACGTTCAAATAACTTTGGATCTCCGTATGTACATTCTTGCTTAATTTGCTAGCTTTCAAACATTAATCCATTTGCATGACCTTCGACATGGGGGTCTGATCACCTAGCAAAACATTCCCAAAAAATCACAACTTTATTAAAACCGCTTATGTAACTGCATGAAGTTTGTTGCTTTTTTTTTTAAGTTTGAATCATATTTTTATGACGTCTATTTCGCAGGAGATGTTTGTGTTTCCGTCAATCCATTAATCTTGCACGTATCTATCATGACACAAATGTTTATTATTCATCAGAAACAATAGAAAACATCATCATTTCAATTATATTAAATTGCCCGATTTCCTCAGGAAAGACATTGTACGTTATTGAAGACGACTTGTCTATAATCAGAGAAAATTACTTGATACTCTTAAACAATGGAAAATATAAGTATGACTCATGCGTTTAGAGTTTAATGTGCAACTCAGCATTCCGCATCAGCTGTGATATGAACGCGAGGTGTTGTCATCGTTTTATACGCTGTTCATTTTGTGAATGATCTTTATTTAGGAAATATGGACGAGTTGAGTGTCGGTCATGTTATATAAATTCATTTAAAATGTACTAGAAATTTGAGATATCAACGAGAGTTTGATTATCAAACCTGACTTTTTATATACTGTTATAAAGCTAAAAAAATTATATTATTGTAATAGTATTAAAAATATAATAGAATGTGATTTCTTCATTCATCACCAATTCAATTATAGAAGTTTTAGTGAAATTGTGTTTAATCAGAAATTCACTCATTTGCAGACATTTAAATTGAATAATTTTTGTAGTTAAAAGTCAGTAAATAAATGAAAGCTATTTTATTTTATCAGTTTGACTCTGGAAGTTTCTATTTCTATTATACATTAGGATTTAGTTATACTTTTGAGGCTATTTTTATATTTTTTCAAAGACAGTATATTTTAATTTGAAGTAATGAGTGTTCTAATTAATATATTTGGGGTAATAAGATAATATATGTGCCAAAGACAGCCAAACCAGTCACTCGTCGCAGTTTGTATTTAAGAGATAATGGCCGGAACATGCTCTAAGGTCAGAATTTGTTAAATCTATTTTAATGCACTAAACTAACCTTTATATATCTATATCTATCATGCTATGCTTTTATTTTCCTCATTTTCAATGTTAAAACGAACATTTTTAATGATTTGGTGATGGTCTCTGCCTGAGAAATGCCTGAAATCAAAAACTTTGAAGGCTAATTTCTCAAATATTGTTATTTAAACAATTCTATGTGTGAATGCTTGTAACTTCATAAGGAAATGTCGGATTTAAATGACTCTTTTACAATTTCATAGCTCCCATTTTACTGTTTAACCCTGTATTAATAACTAAATATCAATTTTTGCAACTAGTGACTGGTTTGGCATGTCTTTGCCACATGTATTAATAGTATCAAATCAAGTAATTGAACTGATATATAAAAATATTATCTTCAGATGTCTCCCTCTGCAGGTTCTGTAAACTATCAGACAAGAATTGTAGCCTTTTGTATACGTGTCTGATAAGCAACATGAATTGGATAGCAATCAAAATTAAACTTTGATACGTGTACACGATTATGTACATTTAACAGATGCCTTAAATTGAAAACGGTAATGAAATGAACATTCTTAGTCGGAGTGTCAAGGAATCTGCTCCCTAGAGGCTTGAGGGCTCCCTTGTCCCAGACAGATATAACCAATATCGTACTTTTATTTTCATTTAGATCAGATTTTTTATATCTGAGCATGATCATTATTTTAACTTTTCTGCTCAACAGAAGCATCTCAGTTAGTAGGGAAGTTTTCAGGGAGGAAAAATTAAGCGTAGTACAGATGACGTAGTGCTACAACAAATTTCTTCATCCAACAATCAGATTGCTCAGATGCTCAGTGTTGCTTAGATATTCACGGATTTTGCTTTACTCCATGTACAGTATTGTGTAATGAAGTAACTCAATTCCTTCTCGCTATGAAATTTGAACTGACCCCTGGTGACCTGCGATAACCACAATTTAGCGCCACCCACAGTGGTATTAAGTCAGTTAACCTGGAATAATTCCTGGCTGTTTTCTGAAGAGAATACTTTGTTATCTAACATTGGTCTTGTGACCAATGGCTTAAACATTTCTTGTTTTAAGCAACTGCTATACTCTATAACAGCAGTGTATCTACAGGGGAGCATGGGATTCACCCCCTTCCCCCTGCCAACAAAATTTTTTAAATAGGGAGCTTGCACTGTGTAGTCCACCAGTTTGGTATGATGGTATGGTAGCTTGTTTTTATAAAGGTAGATAGTGGTAGAAGTGATGATGAAAAAGGTAGTGAGGCCAGGGGATAATGTAAGTGGGGTTGGGGTGGGCCCCTATAAAATATTTCCTTATTTAAATTTTTTTTTTCGAAGCAAGAAAGTATATAAAAATCCCTCATATTACATCATTTTGCAAGCTAATTCCCCTCACTTAATCATAGAGCCCAGCCCCACCTCCCTTCCATCCGTCAGACCCCCCATTTCAACACTCTTAGACACGCCACTGACTCTTAGACACGCCATTGAGTGATACTGAGCAAATGCAGGTGTGAGGGCATAATTCATTTAATTTTGAGTTCACATGAACATTCACTCATGATGGCCATGATGCTGAGACTGCAGCATTGAATGTAGGTATGACTAGTGGTGTGCAAACCAAGTGCGACAGAAGTAAATCTAATATGAACACTCACAATTTGATGACATGTTGTACAACAATTTGGGTCACGCTTGTCAGATGGTTCATCATCACGGTGTCAGTCCTGTACTGGTAACACCACATGTTTCTGAGTGGTTAACAAGATATTTGGATTTCATAATCTCAATGTGCAGTGGGCGGGGCTAATTATTACACTAATTTTCTTTGGTGTGTAACACCCCACCCCCTCCCCCAAAAATCTCAATGTGTGTCCAAGTATCACCATGTATTTTACTGTTTTACTAATTTTACTGTTTACTGATTTTATTGTTTTTACTATTGTCATTTTATGTGTCAATGTATCTAAATTGTATATTTCAAAACTTATATTTGTTTTACAATAAATTTATATTGAATTTAATTTAATGTATTTATGAATTTTTGTGAGGAGAGGGTTTAAGCCTATTGTGTAATTGTGCGGTTTTGCTGATCTGATGTTCATAAACATTTTTTCTATTTAAATTTTAAGGGTTTGTGCATCCATCACATGGTTTATAGTTTTTGCAACAGGGATTGGCTTATATAACACTACATCTGTGTTGGTGTGACCATTCATTTATTTTCTATTTTAATTTTATGGATGTGCCAATCTTTTACCTTTTTTGTTTTTAGTTTTTCAGAAGCGGAATGCTTGTAATGCAGTTGTTGTGTGGATATAACCATCTGAGTTTCATTGCCTTTTTTATGTATATTTTATTCATCTCTGTCAATTGAAGGTCAACTTAAGTGTTTATAAAAATTAATAATGGGTATGCTTACTATCATGTAAACAATATTGTGGAATATTAAAAGAAGTGTTGATATAAATCGTGTAATTGAAACTTTTATTGTATCATAAATGTCAGAAATATCTAAATATAAATCAAATGTTTTACAATAAAAGATATAAATGTTGCAATAATCTCATTCTTCAAGATTGCAGTTTTTTGACATTAGTGATAATTATTAACATATTTATCATTAATTTTATATTTTTTATCTTATTAATTTCCATTAGTATTATTATAACAATTATTATAAATCATTTATAAAGCATTTTTAAAATATCGCAAAACAACCACATTAAAAAATGGATGGTACTAGAAACAGCGACAGAAAGCGATTGAGTTATAAATTTATTAGAAAACAATGGTATACATAAGGTAGTAAAACATATAGTGTAAAAAATCAAACCGTCACTGAGAGCAATCAATATGTAAATGGTGCCAGAAAAAATGATACATGAATGCAAGTAAATATAATAAATAACCACTTTTTTCTCCATTTTTTATTTTTGGTCATTTGAACGTGACCATGGGACATCGCTGTTGCTGATTCGTGTTAATTGAGCGTGTCAAGAAACGGAAAGAAGGCCGGATTGAAGAGTTCAACGCTCGCATTTACAAATCCAGCGGAAGGAAGTTAGAGGATGATGGGAATGCTATTTAGGATATGCGGAAATTGGCCTAATCTTAGCTTATAACCGTGCGCATGCTTACCACGAGTCAGGAAACAATTTTGAAAAGTCAATTTTGAGGTGATCGTGATAAAATTAGCAGGTGCGTTGGGCAATCCTGCGCTATTGTGAAATCGTTTTTGCACAAAATGATTGTGGTTTCTTATCGTCTCCATCAGAATCTGATTTGCGTCACACGACTAAATTGAGTTAAATCCGCCGTACTTCTCTTCAGAACAAGACTATACGGCAAGCACAGGATATGTATTATATCCCAAAGTACACGTCTTTTTTGCAAGTTTTTAAGTGGCTATTTTATAATTTGACAGAATTTAAGGAGTGTTAACTTCCTGTCTAATTAATATGTCTGATTTTAGTCTCAAAATTCAGGCTGTCTTTAGACATGATATGTTTATGGATATTTTCTGATTCATTCAGACCATGATGGGGGATGTCCGGAACGTTTGCTTTATAAATTTAAAGAATGCTTACCGGTACTCCCGTATAAGTTTTAAATCGATAGAAAACTTCAAATGGTTCAATTGTTAAGGATATAACATGTCTCCAGCTTATTCACAGGGCGGCAAAAACTCATATTCAGACAAGAAAATTTGACCATGTGACACCCTTACTCTCACAGCTTCACTGGTTTCCAGTTCATAAACACATCACTTTCAAGATCCTAACTCTGACTTTATAAGTGTAAATCCTAAAATATTATTATATAGTATTATGTAATGTATTATTATTATTATTATTATTTTTATTATTATTATTTAATATGTTACTAAAACCTATCTTAAGGGGAACTTAGACAATGAATGGAGAAATTAGACAATTTTTCAGGAAATAACACGTCTCCAGCTTATTCAGAACAGAAAAATTGACCATGTCAAACCCTTACTCTCACTGCTTCGCTGGTTACCAGTTCATAAACGCATCACTTTCAACATTCTAACTCTGACTTATAAGTGTCTATATAAATCCTAAAATATTATATAATATACTGTATTATTATTATTATTATTAATATTATTATTAATATTATTATTAATATTATTATTATTATTATTATTATTATTATTTATTCCTATAACTCCCTTTACAAGAATAACAGTTACAGCAAAGCGGATTCAAAGATGCTCTCACATTGCGGTAGTTATTATTATCATCATCATCATTACCCGTCAATATTATAATCATTGTTATAGTTTGCATCATTTCCATCTTTTTCTTTGTATCTTCCTGTACATATTCTTTTTCTTATTCATTCATTTCTTTATTATTCTTCCTTATTTTCTCCTTTTTCTTCCCCTCAACTTTTATTTATTTATTTTTTGTCTATTCTTTCTCATCTTCTAGTTTTTTCTTATTTCACTCCTATTTTCCAGGTATACATATATATATATATATATTTTCTTACTTTGGTAGGAGCTTGTGGCGCAGCATGTAAGGTGTTGGACTTCTGATTGTGAGATCGGGAGTTCGAGACAAGCGCTCGTCGCATTGTTTGTGTTCTTGGGCAAGGCACTTTACTTAACTTTACCTCTCTCCACCCAGGAGTATAAATGGGTACCTGGTAGGATGGTATGGCATTGAATGTATGGGTCGTGCACGTTCAAGCAGCAATGACCAGGGATACTCCCCAGGGAGCAGAGAAAGTTGCACAATGTGCGGATTTGCCAATTCAGTATCCAGTGACCAGGGAAATAATGATGCTGGCGCCTTGTATAATCACTTGTAAAAATCTGCAGATTGTGAAAGGCGCTATATAAATTATGGTTCTATAAAAAAAGGGAAAAAAACTCCTTTATATTTCTTCTGCATCATACTTGTTTTTTCTCATTTCCATTTGTATTTCTTTTTGTTCTTTTTCTAATTTCTCATTTTCATCATCTTGCTCTTCTTTTTCTTATTTCTCTTCATTTTATATTTTCTGCATTTTTACTACTTTCTTCTCTTGTTGTTTTCTTCTTTTTCTTATTTATTTCTGCTTGATTTTCTTAATTTCTCATTTTCTTGATCTTCATTATTTCTTCTCTTTCAATTTTTTTCTCTTCTTTTTTTTTCTTTACCTTGTGTCTTCTTTCTCATTTATGTTCCCTCATTTCTGTTCATTTACTTTTTCATCCATAATTCTTCTCAATTACTGCTCCCTTCTCAGTCCTTTGTTTTTATTCCTTAATTCTCTTCTTTTTCCACTTCCCTTTTTTCACATTCATTACTGCACATTATAATATTCTTCCAACTCATTTCTCATTCCTCTTAATTTCTTTTTATCCATAATTCTTCTCAATTACTGCTCCCTCCTCAGTCCTTTGTTTTTATTCCTTAATTCTCTTCTTTTTCCACTTCCCTTTTTTCACATTCATTACTGCACATTATAATATTCTTCCAACTCATTTCTCTTTCCTCTTAATTTCTTTTTATCCATAATTCTTCTCAATTACTGCTCCCTCCTCAGTCCTTTGTTTTTATTCCTTAATTCTCTTCTTTTTCCACTTCCCTTTTTCACATTCATTACCGCACATTATAATATTCTTCCAACTCATTTCTCATTCCTCTTAATTTCTTTTCATCCATAATTCTTCTCAATTACTGCTCCCTCCTCAGTCCTTTGTTTTTATTCCTTAATTTTTTTCTTTTTCCACTTCCCTTTTTTCACATTCATTACTGCACATTATAATATTCTTCCAACTCATTTCTCATTCCTCTTAATTTCTTTTCATCCATAATTCTTCTCAATTACTGCTCCCTCCACAGTCCTTTGTTTTTATTCCTTAATTTTCTTCTTTTTCCACTTCTTTTTTTCATGTTTATTACTGCACATTATAATATTATTCCAACTCATTTTTCTTTCCTCTTAATTTCTTTTCATCCATAATTCTTCTCATATACGACTCCCTTCTCAGTTCTTTCTTTAAATTTCTTTCCTCACTCCTTCCTTTTATGTTTTCCTCAATTCTTTCTGCTCATTTTCATTAAATTTTCTTCAATTTTTTTTGTTCTTTCTTTTTATGTATACAGTATTATTTTCTGTGTTCCTTCATCATTTCTTCCTCCTGTTCATTTTTTTCTTTTCCTCTTTTTATTTATTTTCTTTTATTTGTCTTCTATTAATTTTTTTGTTCTTTCTTTTTATGTATACAGTATTATTTTCTGTGTTCCTTCATCATTTCTTCCTCCTGTTCATTTTTTTCTTTTCCTCTTTTTATTTATTTTCTTTTATTTGTCTTCTATCTTTTCAATTCGTCCTGTATTTTTATTTTCTGAATGTTCCTCTTTTCTTTCATCCTTTTCTTTTCTTCTACATTATTTCTTACAGATTACCATATAGGCCTACCAGTGGCAGTATTTCATCTTTCATCTTGTGTTGTCCTCATCTTATAAATTTTCTTGTTTTTGCTCCTTCGTTCTCTATCTATATTTTATTGTTCTTACACATTTCTTCTTAATTTATGCGTACTTATTTATTTTCGTCTTTATCCTCTTCTTTTAATCTTTAATTAATCTTCGTCATCATTTTCGACCTCCTTTTTAGCATTTAAAATGAGGTTGCTTGTGTCGTCCCTTTTTTGTTGGTAAGTTTGTAAGTAGAACTCAGTTGTATAACAAAGGCCTATACTGCATCAAATCAAAAAGTTTAATATGCGCTCTAACAACCCTACACCTTTACAAATTGGGTGAAAGTTTCATATTGAAATAAGCCTACCATGTCATAAGAGAATGCAGCGTTGTGTAGGTGAGTGTGTAAACCCCCATGTTTTTCTACGACGTTTATATTGCAGTAGTTCTTCAACTGAAAGTCAAATATCATTTACAATGTATACATACATAATAATCATAATAATGTATAATCAGAAACACTATATTATTTTAATAGGCCTAAACTGTCAGAATTGTTTTTACTCATAATTTCATAACATCATAATTCTTAATATTTACATGACAATTTGTTGGGGGAAATATTATACAGGACGGCCTAAAATACATAGAGGGAGGGCCGCTGCCTAATTTACACTGGAGAGGACATTAATGTATGAGGTGGTACCAGTCACTACGGCCTATCAGAGGGATAGTATCCTTCAGATGGGAATACTCGTCCGAAAATCTGTTTTCATCTTGTGACGTACTGCCGAAGAGTTACCGCTACCGGAAACAGTCGAATATTTCCGATTAAAGCCAACTTTACAAGGTTTGACTAAAACCATTAAATCATAATTAATGAGGCAATTTTTCGATTTTTTATTTTCGTTTTCATAGGCTTATGACATCAATTATAATATTACATTTCCCCACAAACATTATGTACCGCTAGGCCTACTGTACCATGTTCTACCACAATGGAAATAAGTTTGACTATTGAGTTACT